CTCAGTCTCATGTATCTAGCTTTGTGCTTGTCATGCTTAATCAAAACGCTTTGATGAGGAAGTAGGTTTGCATCAATGTATATATTTAAAATACATCGGGTCATTGACCACCACTGCAAACACTCTCGACTTCTGCAAAAAGCATTTAATGCAACTTTGCAAAAATCTGAAGTTTAGAGATGAAAACCAATGTCGGATTTGAATTTGGCATGGTTGAATTATATAGGAACTGCTGGTAGATTCTTTGCAGCCAAATATTGTTGCGCAATGTGATCTACCAAAAAGTAGCTAAAAAGTGTGAAAACTGACATTTATAGTCGATTTTCAAAAAATCTGTAGCTTGCAGAGAAAAAGGAATGTCAGATTTGAATAAAGCATTCTCAAATCATAAAAGAACCAGTGTTGGTTTCCTTGCAACAGAAATGTTGTTGAGCAGAGTAAAAAACAGCGCACTATCTGCAGCATCGGGCACGGTGAAGCATTTGAGTGGCGCGATGGCAGTGCGCACTGGACACTTCGCGATGTTAGGCTCGGAAGGTATGAACACTACAACAGCCCAAGCGATCGACTGAGTGACAGCCCGTTCCACGATGGTACCATGCCATGGGTTTAACAATATCAGAATGACCATGCATATCGTCTTTGTATAAGTGTCCAGCGGTATCCTCCTTCGTGGTGAAGGCATCGGGGTAGCCACTGGCTCGCCAGAAACCGCGCCGTGTTGGGTATACCGAGCAAAACGCGCAATTCGCAGTGTGGGCGAAATAAAGAGACGATGCATGAATTGTGAACTGTAGTATATACCTAAGATACGTGGTAGATTATTAGTACAAACAGACGAAGTTAGTGCTAACTGTAACGATAGATGCTCACTTAGATTGTTTCTAAGGTGGGTGTGCGATGAAAAGGAAGCAGACTCATTGAGTAGTATCAGTGGACCGTTACGCATACAAATGGAGCACCTGTAAGTACGTCCCACTGAAATGTAGATGTGCTGAATTTCTACCTATGCTAGTGCGTTAGGACTAAAACAGAAGAACACCCAAATGCGCTTGGAGCGCCGTGAATTTGCAGTAGTGTCTGGTCGAAATTCTGTTTGCACTGACAGCGGAGACTCCAATAGGTTAGTTAAATATAGATGAGGTACACAGGGTATTGAAGAATTAGGCACTAAAGATATACAAGAAACAAAGGCTAGGTGGCTAACGATTTCGCGCATCAGCCCAGACAATTTAGTGTCCGAAGGCTGACAGTAATGCCGTCTACCAAGTAAAAAGCAAACTAGGTGAGGCACTTGCGCTACCGAGAATCGGAAAGGGAACCAAATTAATCAAAAAATGGCGCAGGATTGTGAACATTTATATTTCAAGCTAAAGATGCTAGCAACCAGTACCGAATTCACTGATGACTGGCATTGCGCGGTTTTTTGATTACTTCTTGCAATTAAGCCCATTCTATCTATAATGGAATGAGTCCATAACAAGAACAGATATCAAGAGGGGAAATAAGAATGACCTTCCTTGACACATTCGAACAGCCAGTGGTTTAAGCTCCAAGTCGACATCACGAGTAGGCATGCTAGAATATCAATACATTAAGCCAAAGACACACCTTCCTAGTCGATAAAATGAGAATTGGTTACGCCGAGAAGCCATGATGGTCCGCAATTCAGACATCCAGAAAGGCACGATATCGGTCGAATTTAGATAACGAATCCACGCGATTTCGCCAAAGGTAGACTCGCCTATACAAACCGCTTGATGATAGGATGCTACAGCTGATCGGAAGGTCGTTATGGAACGCGATGCAACCAAACTAATTTGGTACACGTGGGATGATATCATTAAATTGCAAACAACTGGGACTGTCTAACAAGGACCTATCTGCTAAGTATCAAGCAATTTGGTACCCGAAAAGCGACTACCAGGTATCGACATGGGGTAAGAAATAACAAGAATCCTATTTGGCACTCACAAATTGTCACAAAGGCGCTTACATACCTATGAAAGAGCATGCCGAAATGAGCTCCACAGTATCTAGGGTTGTAAGTATCTGCTGCCCGTGTGAGCAAGTTATAAAAATATGACAAGCAGAGTACCAGTTCGGTTCACTTAAAACGTTCGTCAACTTAAGACACAACTGTCGCCCCATGGCATATATAGAGTGGATCTTTGCTAGGCTGTTGATGGTATGACGAATCATCGTTGGAAATTCCGCCTATATCCAAAACCTGTAAGCTGAAAGGTAGTACCAGCTATCCCAGAATCGAAACTACGATACCATTTGAACACCAAACGTCGCAGGTCCGGACTGGCAACTAGTGCTTGTTTGATTATTAGAATGAAGCACATAGTTGGAGCGAATGTGGTCGACCACTTATTCAGTGGTTGACCGTGGGGACGATTTTCCTCGTAAACCACATCATTTGAATGCCTAACGATGCGTACCTTGGCAGTTGTAGGTGGTGTAAATGGTTTACTATGCAGCACACGCCCCGAATCTAGTGTGAACCAGAAAGAAACAAAACCGAAATAAGAGAATGGAAGCCATGGCTGGTTAAGATTTAAGCCGGTTTTAATCGACCCATCCTGCAACGGTTACAAGTTTTAAAAAAACTTCTAGAGATCCAGGGCTACACCTTCAATGGATGAACTATGTCCAGCTGGCTAGTTATGCTGGAAATGTATCAAATGAGTAGACCGGAGATAAGAATGTACCTGCTCGGATGGTACAAATTAGAATGTTTTCCGAGAAATCCCTAGCGTCGCCCACAGTTAAAGGATTAGACCAAGTGGCAAACCAAGTTTGATGGTCTTACAAACAATTTTGACCAAAGTCTCCGGAATTCCTTTTGCCTTCATGTGTGACAGTGGGTTTCTTTACTGCACCTGGAGTAGCGCAAACGCACCACATCAGTACGTGAAAACAGAAAATGGAGTCTATCAGTGCAACTTTAAAACAAACAGACTCTGATAGACGATAGGCAATAGCACTATGGTACAAAGTCTAGTGATAGGTATGTTTGGTCTTCAGGAAATGAAAGCCAGGGGAGAAAGTTCAAGTAAAAGAACAGTATTGGACTTGACTAGGAAGGTATGCGCAGATTATTGTGAATCATACATAACCTAGTGCTTGTAGTTGCTAATGCCCTCCACTCTAAACGACGTAGTGGCCTAATAGACAGCGATTCGGCTATACAATTGTATTCACATGCTTAAAAGAATAGTCCCGCGGATGTTCTCTATAAACTGGCGGTTTACCAAATATACAAAAGGGAATAAAGAAAAGCTCGGAAGAAAATTGATAAACAGTTTGTCTGCACGATGAGACAGAGATTCAGCAGGTCAGAGACACAGGGCATAGTCCGCTTCCAAAATAAGACAATAGCAATTCAGATGGGACAGAGAAGCATTCGTGTTGAGGAGAGATTAAATTGAGGGACATGGATGATTGAGTTGTGCACAATTGACTATACAAAGTGGGACAAAAAGTAGAAGAGGAGTAGAAAACATTCATAAACGCAGCTTTTTGCACTGCTCCCAAGGGAATTCTGGCCTGCCGAAGTGCCCGTACACCGCTGTCTCCAAGTAGCGAGGGCAGCGTAGATCCAGCTCCCTACAAAAGATGCATAGAATGAATAAGTGGCAGTAGCATGGTCGAGTTGGGAAGTCGAACGCCGGTGCTACCAACAGCAAGCAGTAGACAAAAAGCTTGCCAGTGAAGGGGGGGGGAAAGCTAATTTGCAAGGAAACAAATGAGGAAATGATACCTGAATCAAGATGTCAAATAAATGGAAAAAATCGCACGACGAATAGACTGCTGTCGAAGATTGTGGAATGTGGAACAAGTTGCGAGTGCTAATGAATTTCAGTAGGTAGTGAGCTTACAGAACTGATGGATCCACACTTCTCCATCTTATTAAATAGTTGCAAATCAACAAAAGTATGATGAACGAGCGAATAATCCACTTAACGAAGACTGAGTGGTAACGTGCTACAACGATCCTAAGAAGCAGTTACAGAAAACGATCGCGTAACTACACCGCTACGAGTTCAGGTTTCGTAGCGAACACAAGTAAATGGACGTTGAGCCAATGCGCGACCGTCCAATCCAACTGAGCGGCTAGGACAGCACCCGGAAAGGATGAAATAAGATGCAGGTTCATGTTACCATCGATTGTTTGAATGGGCTGATACGGAAGAATGTCAACACCGTACTATCAGGTAACAAAACTGAACCTTAAATGGGGATATCCTGTAAGACAAAACCATATTGATGGGGCTCTCGCAGGCCCAAAAGCCACCAAGACAATTAAAGAGTTGAATTCAAGATGAGATAAGAGAAGGAAGAACAGCGAAATTAGTGGGAGTGGGTAGGCAAAGAGACAAATCCTAAGATACAGTGTCGCATGCGGCCTGAACAAGTTGCTATACATCACAAGCGAGTTTGCGCAAACTTGGCTCCGCAAGCAGCATGAATAAGACCAGATCAACCGCGTACTGCACAGACTCAATGACACAGATTACTTCCCAAGGGAATGAGGATAAAAACTGAATCCCGGAAGATTCAACAGTCCACAAACCAGCATTTTTCAATGTTGCTAAAATGTACGACCAGTAGCAGATGACGACGAAGTGAAGCGGATCAACGTATGAAGCGGACGGGACTTGCTGGGTAAAAACGCACATATCGGTTTCGTCACAGAGCTGTGATGAGACATTGCCCATAAAGGAGCATCACATTGTGACTGTTATCCGACATTTAGCTAAACAGTCATTAGAGGGTGCATGTGGTGGAGCGAGATCCACTGAAAACCGAATTAAATTGACTCGACCGTACCCAATATGTATTTCGAGACTCACTTGACGATCACACCCGGCCGAAGATCAAAATTCCTCTCTACTATGTGCAAAAGCTCCTTGTTGCTGACACTGGAAGTCCCATAGCTATCCAAATAAATGGACAACGGTTCAGCGATGCCAATCGCATAAGAGAGCTGGAACGGTGGTTTAAAACAAAGCACAAGTAGGTGTAGCAGGAAATGACACTGGAAAACTTGATGCTGTGCGCACAAAGGTAAATATTTTACGCGATACATAAGTCGAAAGGGTAATGTATCATTAGGCAAGTAGGTCATTAAAAGATGATGGCATTCAGTTGTAGGCTGGTATAATGAAATCCCTGCGAAGTTGTGCGTGAGCGAAGAAAACCGCGAGCCCTCGGTAGAGGGCATGCAAACAACCAAAGTAGATTCACAAAGAACACAATGGAGGAAGTAAAAGTGAAGAGTGACACGAATCGTTGGAACAAGATTGATGGGTGACTGAGGAAGTTCATCGAGTTATATGAGACAGTACGGCGCTGTCGTCCTTTCGGGAATCATCAATTGTGCACATTCTATCTGACCCTTAAGGAGCTCGAACCCGCAACTAGTGTTGCCAGTCAGTGGTTGAGACCACTAAACTACGGAGGACGGTAGCGACCGTAGTGACTAAGCTACTAGATGTGATACAGAGTCACTCAAGTAGGTGCAGCAGGAAGTGACATCGGAAAACTCGACGCTGTGGACACAAAGTGAAGGTGAGGGGGCTACCTTGTCCTCCGCAAGTCAGTAACGGGGGTATTTAACATCTAGTCACGACGGTCGTTGCCGTCCATCGGAGCTCAGTAGTCTCAACCACAGACTGGCAACAGTCGAACTGTGGGTTCCAGTCCCACGCGAGTCAAACGGAACGCGCACTGCTGACAACTCCTGAGAGAACGAAACGGTCGTGCAGTGCCTCTCTGGGCGTGTGATATTGTGAATTTTTACCTACACCAAGCAAATACCCCTACTAATCCCTTGTCATATGAAACTCATAATACGCAAAACCAGAACATACACTAAGCTTAGCTCTGCTACATAGTGAGCAGAGAATTGACGTACAGTGGACTCGGTTGCAATGCGCCGGGTCAGAACAATGACAACGGCGAAAACAAAAACCGTTTGTAGCGTAGGGGAAAGGACAAGAAGGATATTTGGAATGGAAAAAAGAGCCACTGGGAAAAGAGCCGGAGAGTACGTGGACAGATACGATAGCATGCAGGAGCATCAATGACTGAGTGAGTGCATCGAATATGAACACAGTTCCCAGCGGATGGCGCGGTAGCTGCATCAGCAATGATGGGCGCATAAAAACTGACGTGAGCTCACGCATTGCAAAGGCCAGAGCTACCTTCTTGAACCTGCGGCATCTTTGGCGACAGAAGGGAGTTTCCCTCCGTCTGAAAGGCCGTGTCTACAAAACCACAGTGAGGGCCGTTCTGCTCTATGGTAGTGAAACTTGGCCCCTTCGGTCTGAAGATCTGAGGCGCCTTCAAGTCTTTGATCATCGTTGTCTGCGAAGCATTGCTGGTGTCGGATGGCACCAGGGTGTCCCCAACGATGATGTGCGTAGACGAGTACTAGGTAGTGATAGTCATGCTAGCTCCCTAGAACAACAGATGGCATTGAATAAGTTGCGTTGGCTCGGGCACGTGCTACGTATGCCTGGTCACCGCTTACCTAGGAGGGCCTTGTTCAGTCTATCAGGTGTAGGATGGCGCAAGGCACAAAGTGGACAGAAGTTGACTTGGCAGCGCGAAATGAAGTCACTGACGACCAAACTGGGTTCCGTTGGTCCGTCTCGCCTTCCGGGTTGGAGTCCACGTGACTCGGCTTGTGCTTGGCTCGAGACTTTACAGGAAATGGCTCGCAACCGACACCAGTGGAGCGTCTGCTGCCGTCTCCTAATTGGATTGCCTGTTTAAAGTGTGTTTGGTGCTGAGTTATCTGCGGGGTAATGGCTGATTATGACGCGTGGCAGCGAAAGCCGCAAGGAAGCTGTCTCGCCGATGCCGCGTTATCATTGCACGATAGTCAGCTGTTTGAGACGGTATGTTGTCTACACAAGGTGTAGGCGCCTTGACCCGGAATGTTCGCTTAGGGTATTAAGGTTTTCAGGTAAGTCCCCCCTTTTCTCCCTCTTCTTATTTTTTATTTCATAAGTCCTCATGGCTGTATGGCAGCGAAGCATCAGTTCAAATGGCTGATGTACTGCTGTTGTTGATGATGATGATGATGGATGGCGCGGTCCGGTCGAACCTCTCCAATCAATTTCTGCTTTTCTGCAGTGATCGACTGGTGGCTTTGCGCAGCCAGATGCAGCGACATCATTATACTTACACATTAGCTGAAGGTGAGAAACACCCTTCAACTATGGTGCCGCGATACAAAAGTTAGTATATGTGAAGAAGCGAGATACGAAACACAAAAGGATACAAAAACAGGTAACATGGTTGGCGGCATCCGGTTTCGGATTTGCCTGTCACTGTGGCCAGCCACAGGACACCCGCGCCTACAGAGGGACCATGGATGGCTTGCGCTGCACCACCCACAGCTCCATCCACACACCCCATATCCAGTGTAAACCCGAAGGAATAAGACCGGGAGGCATGTGGATGGGAGCCAGGTTTCATCAATGGAGCCGGCCCACACTCCTTCACAGGCAAACACAAGCACGCTTTATTTGGGGAATCAAGCGCACACAAGGCGGTGGCTGGACCGT